TGCAAAACAATTAAAAGGAACGCGTTTGTGCTCGATCATTATCACGTTGTCATCCACGATGGAGCTTGTACTAGTGCAGTTTCTTTTGATGATATTTGCGTTTCATGAAGCGGTATCAGACGACATAACGAAAAACAATATCGTTTGTGTCGATAAAGACGAGGTTTGTATTAATACATGTCCTTATTTATTTAAAAATGATTTTGAGCTTCTAAAAGACTTTCGTTAAAACCCTGATATTTAATTGTCGAGAAAATATGTAATAATGATGAAGAATTTCCGAAGAAGATAATCGCGTAAATATGTTCATTTGCATGAATTATAACTGAATAGAACTGAAATTCGACTATATTCCCAAAAATCAAGTGAATTCAGTAGAAACTAATCGCAAAAGACTAATGTAAATGCAGCAAAGTTGTTTTTTTAATCTTTTTACACAGATAATGAGATCTTTGAAAGGAAGAGATGGTCCTGTCGGTCCACCTGGTGAAAAGGTGAGGAGTTGTACGTGATATACTATTATAATCATGAATACTGATATAATATATATAGATCTTCTACATCTTGCACATTCTGCATAAGGCGTACCCGTTGTCTCGAAAGATTTACTAAATAAAAGAAGAAAAGATGAATTTCAACTCAGCGGCATATTTATACATCCAAACATGTAGAGAATGAAATTATTTTTTTCTTAATATACCTTATTGCAATTTATATATAGGGTAATCGAGGTGTATATGGGGATGATGGATTCAAAGTAAAACAAGTATGCTGTTAAATTCTCATTAAGACAGCTTTCTATCAATTCTGATTAAAATAACTTTATGGAAGCGTACGTGTATAGGAAATGTGCAACTGGAAAGTTATAGATTCCGGTTAATCGTGCGAACAAATATGTTCATAAATGTATTGACCCTATATATGTATAGGTCGAAATGCCAGTTATATTTACATGTCACGTCGATATATAGCTAGCGTGCGACCATGAAACAACGACTAAACGCAATGCATTTTTTATCTTTTTTTATAGGGCTGGCCAGGTTTTCATGGACGAGATGGAAGTCCTGGGAGTAAGGGCATTAAGGTATGGTGTGAAACTAGAAAACTATGAAATACAACTCCTTCATCTACGGACGACAATTGGCAACGGTTCCGTGTTTGTTTTAGGGCGACCGTGGAAGTCCCGGATCTCCTGTAAGTAATTAGAACTTTATTGTGTGAGCTATATAAAGTATATATATGAAACGAAAATTTAGCCGTTAACATGATTCCCTCTTTACACGGTCGAAAATGAATTTTAACATTCTCTCCAATAAGAAAATTTTCAAACTGATAAAGAAGAATTCAGCAAATGGTTGCATGTAAGCACTTTTCAAGTGTATTCCCTTGATACTTCGATCAGTAGATAATTTATATTTCTACATGCAGGGATGGCCTGGCAAAGACGGTATGGACAATAAAAAACGAGGTGAAAAGGTAATAATAAGTTTTTTTTCATGTCCCTTCTCGTGCGCCCGTGCACCCCCGGGAAATCTGCTGTGCTTTTTATAATACGATTGTTTACGCATTTAGGGTGATAAAGGTTATTCGGGAGAGAGAGGCGGAGATGTAAGTATCCAGCTTTTCATGCGGGATTTAAGTTATTCTCCCTAGTCCACGCGTAGGGTAAATATATATATATATATATATTATATATATATATATATATATATATATATATATATATATATATATAATGATTGCATAATTGTTCTTTAACTTTAGGGTGACTTCTTCGACGGAGATACAGGCAGACCGGTAAACCAAATTTGAAATATTTGCAGAGTAAATAAAAGTGAATAACACTGATTATCATATAGCCACAAAAAAGATAATAAATCATAATGGTGCATGCATGCGTAGCCATAGCAAAAATATCATTTGCTTTCATAAAAGGCTACGTACTCAGTGTAGTTCTAACACTCAACTCTTCTCACGTGTTAGAGACACAAGAACATCACGCTATATAATTCTATATATTTAGGGCGATGTTGGAGACCCAGGATTACCAGGTGACCAGGTAGGAATTCAGGGCATGTTAACTTTTAGAACTCTTGGCCTAAAAAGTTAAAATTTTCATGCGTTTGATTTCCTTACCCAAATGATAGATTACGGATGAGATATGGAGGACTTTATTTAATGATTTCTATGTTTCGGAAAGTGGTTATTTTGACAACCTGTATCATGTGACATCACATGAGTTGACTGATGGTAGACTCGATACTGGTGGTTGGGGAAGCCAGACAGCAAAAAGGGGAAACTTTATTCAAGCAACGTATTTCCGTCCTGTTTACGTTACATCAGTCACAATAGCAGGAGGTTTTATACCCTCTTGGGGTCATGGCACTAGAGAAGAACATGGCTCTATGGATTTAGAATATTCAGTAGATGAAAGAACATGGAGAAAGGTGATAATAAATAAAGCTTCTATCTTAAATCCTCATTTCCTATTTAAATTACGAATTTACGTACATTGCTTTCTAGATTTCCAAACTGAACACTCCGTCTGATCAGGAAATGGTCACCCGTTTTCTTACAACACCTGTCACCGCGAAGTATTGGCGTTTGATTTCCACAGAGAATAAATGGGTTGGAACAACAGAGTTTGCCTTGAAACCTTTGGTGTTGCCATCAGAAGTGTAGAGATGAAAATTGAAAAATGAAAGGAGAAATCTGCGCTTTTTATTCAAAGTTTTTTTTTCATTATTATACTGGCTATAAAGGACTTGCTATCAAATAAATAGTTATACTTAATTGTAATTCGCACCCAAGGTGGAACGTAGTAGTAATAAGCTTTACTGAATAAAACAGTTATATATGTTCATTGCAAATGTCGTCATTGTAAATATATACATGTTCCCTCATTGAATATGGTTCGAATGAGAAGAGGTGCCCCTCCCCCCCCTGCTTGATAAGTGATTTTTACTTCAGCACTCATTAGGAGCTTGCAGTGTCAAAGCAATATTTAGTTTATTGTTAAGCATCGTTTAACAAAAGGCAGACCTCGACATCTTTGTGATTATATGCTGTTCTTTTTAAATTTTGTAAGCATATACTTAGCACGCTAAAATTAGGTTAAGCTACCTCTTTATAACACCCTGTATAACCAACTGAAAGGACTATATAGGACACTCGATTTGGTACATAACCAACGTACTCAGTTTACCTATATATACCACCTAATTAATCCTGATGCGCATGCAAATAATTGCGCTATTTTGTTTGGTCTGTATGAATAACCCGCGGACCCGCATAAACTCAGGCTGGGCCTGCATGTGCCATGTGCGACTGTTCCACGCTGAAACTTTGAGTCCAATGTTGATATCTTTAACTGACACACTGCACACAGATCGTTAACTATCCTTGAAACAATGGCTGTTTCGTCTGCGCTCATGAGAACAGAGACATTTTGTGTCCTGATTTGAAGTTTGATTCAATCAGTCAGTTAATATGCTTTTACATATTGTGCATATACGGACGGAAGAAATGATATTTAACACACACAGTTTTAAAAGATTGTGGAACATCATTAGGTACAATTATGATCAATTTTATATAGAACTGCCTCGCGTTCTTTAAAAATAGTGTTATTCTTGTACATGTTCTGTGAAAGTCCGTGTGTATCTATAAAATTATATGACATTCACTGTTAAGAGTTGGGCTCGGGTTTTCTAATAATTGCTCCTTTTAATTATTATCATTCACTAGTTTAGTCATGCATCCTATTATCATAAGATGACTGAACTGGTGTATGGTTATGATGTTCGACAAACTTTTAAAACTGTTAGATCATAGGCAGCCGAGGCATGTTTTCGTTCTCATGACGCTCGCGCGTGTATGCGAGTCTACTCGGTCTAGTCTAGTCTAGTTTGATTTTAAAATTCACTGAGTATATGGTGTGCCCATTATTAGTCTAGGAATAAGGAATTCGTGTCCTGAAATAGGATTTACTCTCCACATATCTGATTAAATGTCCACGATAAACCTGTCCACGAATTTACTTTTTAATTCTTCTTCGATCCTTACCCCTCAATCCTTTCTCCTCGATCCCTTCTCATCAATCCATTCTCCTCGATCCTTTCTTCTCGATCATTTCTCCTCGATCATTTCTCCTCGACTACGTTTGTATATGGATATCGTTGAGTTAATGAAAACAATATAAATATTATGACGAAAGGGGCCAAAGGGCATAGTTGGAAGAACTGGACATGTGTCTAGACATGTGTAAACATCACGTCCAGGACAACCACAAATGAGGAAATATAGAATCTTTGACCGAACATCCTCTGCGGGTCGGAGCTTTTTCAAGTAATTTATTGACAGAATTACTTTTGCAAAAACAACCAGAGCGATTTTGTTCCTATAAACTGACCTACACGCATGATCAAGGAACAGCACTGTTTCAGCAAGGTATCACTAAACGATGTACTACGCCGTTGTTCTATTTGATTAATTGGCATTCTCCAGAGATATAATTCTCGAGCTGGTTGCGCGAATGCCGGGTATAGCTTAATTAATCCTGGGTTAACGCAAATCTTTACATCATTTTTTTAATCGTTTGCTTTACATCTATAAAGTTTAATTATTACGTTTTGCTATTAATATATTTTCTACATGGATAAAAGCTTTATTTTATAAGATTCCGAAACAAACAGTGCAGAAGCACATTTTCCCAGTAAATTTTAATACGAGAAGCAGCAAGAGCTAGTATAATATATATAGTCTAGTCGATCTTATTTTTCATGTAATATGAAGAAACTGCCTCAGCATCAAACATAGTATATTTTTGTTGTTGGCAGATGGAAAATCAAGCAGAATTTTTTCAGTAAATTTAAATACCTATATCAATGAAGAATTAAGCAGCAACAGAAAAATTCAGCAACTATCGATCGGCTCCCAAGCAAGAATGAGGACTATCGCGAATAATGGTAAAATATTCGTAAATTGCTGTAATCAATCTCCTGGATAGTGCTATCATCCAGCCATCGTGCGACTGGCTCGAGAACAACATTCACGGGTCAGTACAAAATTATTTCCGTTGTTTTTTTAATGAACAAATTACTCTTCATGCATTTTCAAACATTCGTGACCCAATTTAGCCGCTGTAACATCACGTTAAACCACAAAAATTAGCGGTGGGAACAAATCGTTTTCAATGATTGTGATGACATGTACATATACAAGGTCAGCATCAGTCTTGTTTTTGTCGCCTTGCACGATTACGCATTGGATGAGTTTTGAGCTGTCAACAAATATGGGATTAGGCTTTGGCGCAAAACGGAAAAATTTCTTCCCATATTTTTGCGATTGCAATTGATTGATCAAAAATCGGGGACATAAAGCAAAGGCAATCAAATTCGAGAGTGTGCTGTCGTATTTCATCATGAAGATGCTGGTAGTGTTGCTTTTCTTTCTCGCAAGTCTTGTCACATCATACGGGCAAGAAGTGAAGAAATTAAATGGAATCAACGGTTCAGTTGTGTGCATCGAGAAAAAAAAGGTCGGTCGCCCAGAATTTTTGCAATTTCAAGAATTATATATACTTAAGCTTGTTACGAAATACTTTGTTCATCATTGTTAATAATTAGAATCCTATAACTATAATAGGACTGTTGGGAGTTATGCCTCAACCAGGCTACACAAATGTTCTTGTGATAAAATTTCCGTAAGGGGAGAGAATAGTCTCGCTTTCCCATAATATATAACAGCCCACATGCACTTCTTAGAAATGGTTTGTATACTTGCATCATTTCAAACAAATTCGTTTCTATCTTACCTATACTAGACATTGGGACTTACAATAATTCGAGGGGAACATGGAGATCCAGGCTTGCGTGGATTAAAGGTTCGTCACTTCGTCTTTACCATAGAGCAATCCTAACACCACTGTTTTTCCTCTTAAAATATTTTTATAATTAATTGATCTCAATTGAGTTCACCCTTTTTTGTAATTAATCGGTTGCATATTGAATGACAGCAATCGCTAACTGTTTGAACCAAACTAACCAGCATTTGAACCAAACATTAAATATCTTGTAAAGCTTAGGATTTTACGGGCCTCACCGATCGCCGAATATGTGGTATACCTCACGCAGACGGGCACTTTCAGCTCATATCATCTACATGGTAGTTAGCCGCGCATGCGCAGCGGCTATTCAGCCTATTCTTGCAAAAACAACTCATGTGGAAATCATTATAGCACTTGCATAGATAATCCCTCTCATTGCTTTGTTTATAGGGTGAGACTGGTCAAAGAGGATTTCCTGGAAGTAAAGCTGTATGTTGTGAAAATGAGTATAGAAAATATGTCTTATTTACGCCAATTTAAATATAATTCATACTTTTCTGTGCGAGACACGTCGCAGCTCTCGGAAGCTTTCGTCCAATTGGTTAATGCTTTTCTATGCTTTCTAAAGAACGAAGCTATGTTATTGGTTGAAACAGAAATGTATTCTAAAGCTCAACCAATGAAAATCATTCTTGCGAGGAGCTGTGACACTATACCGTTCTGTGCTATAGGATAATAGTTATTAATCATAAATAAATTCAATCTTCATTGAGAAGGGCGGTTTCATACTCTCACTGAACCACCAGTTTTTAGTTATAGATATATTAGCGGCCAACTATGTAGTCTTTAGTCTTTCCTTTTATATCCTATGTACCATGCAAATCTTATTCTGTGATTGTCTCTCTTGTGAAAACTGGGATACCTTCATTCGGGCTAGAACAATCTGCAATTTTCTTCCAATTCCCACTGGCGTGTTGATATAGCTGTAGGCTCTAGCTATATGTCATCATGAAGCGTAAGAAACAAATCTTGCATAAAGTTGAGTTGGATGTAAAAGAATAAAGGAAATTAGGACGTTGAAAAACCTATAAAATATTTAATTCACTCAACAATTTAATTATGAATGCTCATTATTATTTCCCCATATAGGGATTTTATACTGGTCCACCTGGATTTGACGGGAGAAATGGTGCTAAGGGAGTAAAAGTAGGTATAATCAAGCTGCTGTCAAAATTTTTTGCAGGAAACCGGCAGTGCATGCATGTATATTTAGAGGGCGTCAATCAATATTCCAGATATATATCTTTTTTGAAAACCACCATGATACGCGTAGATTTTTGTTTTATAACATTCTGTTCTAATATCAAACCTTTCAACTTCTGACTTTTTACGCATTTGAAGATACCGTGAGGGTTTAGACAATAAAAGCTGAATTTTGAATCAACTCCCTAAATATAGTATTTCCCTTTATTCAAGATATACAATATATGGAGCACAAGATTCGCTTTAAATACTCTATAACCAATCTATATAATTGTGTGTAACTTTTTAACGTTCTCCGTATAAAAATCTTAGGGTGATAGAGGGGATCACGGTTACAAGGTTGGTAGTTGCCAATGTTGCCAAAATATTCTAATATACTGATAAGTATAGTGATAAGTTCATATATAACCTATGGCAAGCGAGTGAAGCGACATTCAAAGGAACACTTTTTAGGTTACTTTTATATCTTCTTATTACTTTTATATAGTCGAATTAGGATTGGAAATGTTTCACATGACCGATCGATATTCAAAAATACGACCTGATTAGATGAGATTAGAATCATAATTAATCTATCAAATTTCCTTAATCAAACTGACATATTATATATTAGTATTTTTACCATGCAATTTTTCACCAGGGTTTACGAGGCCCGCCTGGGAGTCCGGGCTCTAACGGACCAAAGGTCAGTTATATTCTATATGTAAAAGTGTGGTGATGTATATTGGAAGAATATGTACTCTGTAGGCCAATGGAAATCCAAATTTTGTACATACTATAAACCCAGCAATGATGTCAAAATCCCTAATTGATAAAATTTCAGTGTTTCACCAAAAATTTACTACTGTAACGTCTTAGACAAGGGGCCATTTCCGGATTTTAATATTCCAAAAGTTTATATGATTGAAAAATAGCATATGTATAATTTCAACGTATAGACCCTATATACACACATATAAATGGATATAATGGTTCTCTTTTAGGGATTTGCCGGAGAAACTGGTAGCAAGGGTCCAAAGGTACTTGAATTCATTTAAGCGTGATAAAGAGAAAACAGGAGGGATTAAGGATTAATATCCATATTAATCCAGATTAATATCCATATTGAGCCAGAATAAATAACTACAGCTCTAACTTGCAATCATATTGGTAGATTTTAATGTAAGAAAAATCCATAGAAATGCATAACTATATTGGCGTTGTTGTTAAGGTATTTTTAATTAGGGAAATTTGGCTGTGTAATTTATTCTGACTTACACTTAAATCCATCACTCTATCCTGGAACAGTTTTGGTAAGCTCTTGCAAATTACTCATTCTCATGCTCACTTATGACCGGTGCACCCATCGATTCTCTCTTTGGACTTAAAGTGTTTATACTTGCCTGAAAGACGCCTATGAACTGAGCGACTCAGTCAAAAGGGCCGAATAATCTTTTGAGCGATGGCGATGGTTAGTGTTGAATTTAACCATAGTAACCATAGAGTCATAAATACATGTAAGAAATACAGTCAGAAATACAATTTTTGAGAGGCCTTTTTTATAGTTTTCTTTGCTTTCTATATATTCATGCAAGACTATCCTATCTTTTTTAAACTGATTTATTTATTGCAAGATTACCCTATGGCTATATTTTGATATATTCTTTATTATTTTATAGGGTTTTAAAGGAGAACTTGGGTTTAAGGGAGAAGTTGGTCATCATGTGAGAACATGACTGTTTATAATTATTTGTAACCGCATGATGTAGTATTTGCCCCAGTTACGTAATATGGACTCCAGAATGTGTCTCCAGGGTAGTGAGGGTTCGAAGTAAAGCTCGCCTCCGGCTGCGATCAAACTGATCTCTTTCCGCTTCCGAAATTTATTTCGAAGTACTTGTTTCGAATTTGTCAGTTTGCAATTATGTGCATGTGCTTAGCAATGAGCCTCGTGAAGATGAATACAAGAGATAGGTAGGCTGTTAATTGGCCGATAATTTTACGTGTTTTTCTTCTCAAATGCAAAAGTGAGACGGACGTAAACCTTGTTTACATGCAAACCAAATAATTCTATATTTATAGGGTGCTGACGGGCCGGATGGACTTCCACGACCCGAGGTATATATGCTATGTATATACATATATGTATATAAAGAGAACAATACGTATATCGTCTTATATTTTATATCATGTGTTTCAGACAACCAGGAATATGGTGATTCATGCATTAAACGATTACCAGGTCACACAAAGTGGTTTCTATAACAACATCTATCATGTGAAATCACGTGATTTGACTGATGGTAGATCAGACACTGGTGGGTGGGGAAGTGAAACTCCAAAGATCGGAAACTTCATTCAAGCAATTTATGCTCGTCCTGTCTACGCCACGTCAGTCACAGTGGCAGGAGGTTTTATACCATCTTGGGGAAACGACGTCAAACGAGGATATGGAAATTTAGCCCTGGAATACTCATCAGACGGCCGAAACTGGAGAAGGGTGATTATCATTATATTCATACATTATTTCCATCTTAAAATGAGAAAAATATAGCTCTCTCTCTTTAGCAATTTCAGCTTATTATCTATTGTTCATTATGCGCGAGACACATGTGAAGAAGCTATAACTACGTAGATTATACGCTGCATAGGTATTAGTCGCGTCGAATGCAATTTAAACAATAGATAATGAGATGATAAACCTAAGGCCTAAGGGGTTGTTTACGTGAGCCCGGTTACCCGAGATTCAACGAAGCGTGAGAGGATTTTGAGGTGTTGAAATAAGTCTTTATGACACCAAACAAGCACATGCTATTGTTGTGGTGATTATACGACTGCCATGATCATGTTATTTGCTCATTTCAATACCTGAAAATCATCTCACGCTTCGATGAATCTCGGGTAACCGGGCTCATGTAAACAGCCCCTTAGTTAGAGGTTTTACTTTTTAGCAGCTTGGTCAAACAGACGTTTAAACAGCATAGTGAAAATATGTTTTGGTCTTTAGATGACGACATTTCCTTCACCGGTGGCACAGGAATTAATCACAGTAACATTCCGACCGGTAACAGCTCAATATTGGCGCCTACTTTCAATGGAAGACAAATGGGTTGGAACAACTGAGTTTGCATTGAAACCTCTGATCATGGCGGCTTGAACATATAGGATTGCTGGTGAATCACAGAATTTCTGGTTAAACGTTTATATAGTTAATTAATTTACAGATTTCGCGGCAGTTTATAGACAAGGTCATGTATTGTATTATGTGTTACTCAGACCCAGCTACTTAAAAATAATAATAAGCTTTTTCATGCAGTTCATCAATTGTTGCTTGTTCTAGCTTATTGCATGGTCTCTAGATTGTGGACGATAAGCCGTTAAGGCAACATATTCACCGAGAAGTTAAATCTTTGATTATAATTTTAATTTTATGAAAGAATATGGTTTGCTTCCTATATAATGGATGAATGAACCGAATATTTAAAAACATCCCCGGCCAATTTAGTTTTGATTTTTTATAAGGTCCGAAAAAATGCTTATTTTATGTGTCAGGGTAAATTAATTTCGTTACTATGACGTACAGAAAACTTGGAAAAGAATTTGCTGCCTCCCAGTTCGACACTTATAATTCGAATGATATTTTAAACCTTATTTATTTTGCCTAGGAATCCAAATTAAGTACAAGAAATGAAATTAAGGTTATAACTGAGACCGCCCTAACTAATGATATAATATAACAAATTTCCTGTTATACCATTACCATATATGCGATTCTTTATGGTTATTCTGACCAATAATTGAAAAGCACTTGCTTTGTACTGCTTAAAATAGATCTTAAGAATAATAGAAGAATAGAGATTCATTGCATTGAGTAAACCGTTAAAGAAGGACATGCAGAAAAACGAAATATGGAGAATTTTGCATGGATAATATGTATTTTCTGTATTTGAATGCGAATTTCGGACACGGATTGTGGCGTGAAGTCGAAAAGCGTAGTTTATTTGTTTCTTTACACAAATGTATTATTTCCGTTTTCGCGAGTTCCGCCTTGCATGCATTTTCGGAAATCGGGGAAGAAAGCATGTTTTTTAATGACTCAAAGTTACATGTGCTTATACGTGATTACTCGTCTGAGTGGGCGACTTAGCTTTTTTATCAAAGTAGCAAGAAAAAATATAAATATATCACTACGGCTAGAAAGAGCATACATAAATTAGTGCAAATGCAAAATGCGGAGAATAGAGCAATGCGAAGTTGGAAAATTCAGTCATACTTTTGTATTACGTGCGGAAATGTACATGTAATCTAGACTTTACTCTTTAGCCAGTTACACTTCCGGCGGTATAAAAAGATTTGCCAACTTTGTACGTATAGCTATATCGTCAACATTTCGCAGCCAAACTTGGCAGTTTTACTAATTTAGTGTGCTCTTTTAAAGAATTTCCCTTTTATAAGAAATTAGTCTAAAGTGAAAGTTGTCTATATATACGACCTTGTGTATACTTAAGCCTCAAAATGGCTATTTCACAGCTTTCAGATATGGATGACGAGCTTTCAAAAGATTGCAGAATGCGTATTCGAAAGGAAATTTGAACTGTTTTTAACTTATTTGATAGCATCAAACGTAAAAATTTACAATATTTAAAATTCCAAAATAATTTTGCCGACCGCCTTAATTTCCTGAGATCTGCCGGCTTTCTTATCTGCTGCAATAAAAAGGCTACCAAGTACCAAAGGAAAGAAGAGCATAGTGTTTCAATATGAATCGGTTACATGCTCTGCATAAGCAAATTTCCATCAGCTCATGAAACGGAAGGGAATTCCCAAGACTGTAAATTCTCGATCTCCTTTATTAACTATGCTTCAACTCATAGAGGAAGCAAAGCAAACGGAAGTAAGACAGTTTTCAAGAAAATGAAAGAAAATCTTACAAACAGGGCCGAAACTAGATGCGATAATTTATACAGGGTGTCTAAAAAAAAAAAGAACTGACCACTTAAATATGCAAGAATATTAATATTGTTCGGGTTTGCACCATAGTTCAGCTAAAATGACTTTTAGCATTTTAAATGAAGGATTAAGAGCCATTTTCAATTCCCAGAGGTGCTTATCTACGTATACGGGGGTGCATATTCATATATTCGTTCTGACCGACTGACTTCTATTCAGGATAAGCTATTTCACATATCTCTTTGATTTTCAGTCTTTGTTATATATAAACAGTGCATGGGTTCAGATGAGCAATCGGCTATAAGGAGAAGGCTCGATCAGCTTACATATTCAGGGGGGGGGGGTATTCCAACTAAAATAGTATTAGTATTAGTAAATGGTAATAGTAATAGTATTAGCATGTATAAAAATATGTGTATAAGCACATGTAACTTTGAGTCATTAAAAAACCTGCTTTCAATTCCCCGATTTCTTTGTGAAATCCAACTAAAATAGTATTAGTATTAGTAAATGGTAATAGTAATAGTATTAGCATGTATAAAAATATGTGTTTTGACGCGTGCAAGCTTCAAACGTCCATGCAAGAGATGTTTTGTTATAAATCTTTTTGCTCACTAAAGTCGATATGAGTGGGAAGCCAATTTCCGCGGTGCCACGTAAAACAACAAAACAAAACAAAACAAAAGATTGGGTTATATTTATAGTGTTTCTAAAGGAAGAACATATTTTAGGACGTTAAAGGAAAAACATAACTTACTTATTTTAGAACTGTTTATAAGAATTAATCTACATTTTTTGCGTTCAGAGGAGGAACCTGTCAATTACAATGCGTAGGCATTGTTACAACTTAACCCTAATGCTATATTGTTACCATGCCTTTTAAATACAACCATAATAAAATTGAATATACATAACAATTCACTGGACATAACAATTCACTGGACATAAAAATTTACCGCACAATATAAGGAAACTTACTTTAAACTATACACATGGTGATTGGTCTGTTTGTGCATGTTTCTATTCTTCCGGTGACATCCGTAGCGGCTATTTAATCAAATAGTGGCTCAGCCCCTATTGAGGCATGTGGTCCATGCGTATCTATTTTCTGCACGCAATTTGAATCACGTGTGCGATTATGATAATCTATATAAGAAGCAGTGATATCTGGTGGATTATCAATACAAGTCACGGTAAGAACTTGGTTGAAAGCGGGCTAATTACTGGTTGAAAAAGATCCAAAATGGCAGATGAAGTTGGAGCATTCGTAGCTTCCTGGAAATCACTACATGTTGATCTGAAGAAGGACTGCCTCACAAAATTCAAGGCGAAGTTTCACGAAAAGAAGTCTCGAAATAAACGAACGGCAAATATGTTGGGGGCCAGAGAGTATGCCAAACAAACGGACGAACAAGTCTGTCGACAGGTCGAAAAAGGCGTTGAGCTTTACTCATACTACAGCTACCTCTACTATTATCCCACTATAAATTGGTCTCTCGATAAAACTCCAGATTCAAATGACTACTGGGTAGGCATATTCGATCGAAATAAAGGAGACGATCAGTACATTACGTACCAATGGTTGGGTTATACAGCTCAGGGCTCCTACCATTGCGGAAAACTAGACACGGCCGAAGGACAGGAGTCTCGACACCGCAGCGAGGAGTATGATCTTCGCATCTTTCAAGGTTCTCAACGCCTTGATGCTGAGACAAATATTCTTAGAGGAAAAGTTACCGATGCACCGGCTGACCCTTCTTCCGGAGAAACGACAGAACTTTGTGGTAAAGAAATCGATTCTGAGACACGGGAGTTCCTTCGTGGTTTGGAGACAGCAGTAGCCAACAAGTCAAGTGAAACATGCTCATTGGGTCCGGACGACTTGCTGCAACAATGGAATAAGTTCACTCCATCACACCAACAGCTACTTCTCCCCGTCTTAGAGCAGGATTCCTTGCCAGATGAAATCAAGCAAGCTTCTCCAAGAGCTTCCAATTTCCAAGAACCAAAGAATCGCTTTCCAGATCTCGGGAAAACGCCAGCTTCCGCCGCACTAAAGTCAGCCACACGTCCTTCTAAAATTGTTTTGACGATTACTCTCGACAAAGCCTGCACCTACATATACCCTGTGGTGAACGTTACCAAAGTTGTTCCCACAAAGTGGGCATGGATGGGAATGTACTATACTGAAAGGTACGATTTTTTAATTCGCATGCATTTAAAGGCGAAGTAATACGAGCAACAAAATTTACACAAACTTGCAACAAAATCTGATTTCTACGCATGTTAATAAAAAATGTTGGCATATGTTGTCGCGAATATTGTAACCCTCGCTTTAAGCATTGTTTGCATGTTAATTTGTGTTGCATGTTTGTGCAATTAAAAAAGATTCCCTAACTGAGCAGAACGGCCAACAAAAGCTGAAATATCGTCTCTTAAATCTAGCGACGTGTGCTTCAACCCGGACATGTATATTGAAGATACGTGGCAATGGGTTGGAAATGGACAAACTGGAGTCACCGATCTTGGTGAAATTAAAGAGGAAAAGGAAGGACCAACGAACACACAGTACGTCGGCGCCATCTTTGACTACATTTCTGGTACCTATCAACAAATTGGTCTGGCTAAAACTACAATTGCAGCAGTTATTACTGCCACTCCAAAAAAGCCCCCTCCTATATATGAACCGGACTTTAATAAAGTCGAAGCCCTTCGCTATGCGAAACTAAGCCAGCTTGCGTACCAACCTTATGCAACAGTTGAAACCGAACTGGAACAATATGGACTTACGGCTGAAATGAAGATCTACGACCAAAGCAACGACACGAATGGATTTATTGCTAGTGATGGAAGTTCCGTTGTTGTGGTATTTCGGGGAACTCACACCTTGAAAAACATGTTGACCGATGCATGGTTCATCCAAACTCCCATTCAAACAAACGATCAAGCACGTGCTCATAAAGGATTTGTTACTGCACTCAATGCTGTCTATTCCGATATTGAAGACCATTTGAAGCCTTTCATTGGTCATAAAAAGCTTTTCATTACAGGTCACAGCCTTGGAGGAGCACTTGCAACACTCCTGGCATATCGCATTTCCTTATCTCACCACGATTCTCAGCCAACCCAGTATGTTTACGGTTGTCCACCGGTTGGAGACATCCGTTTGTCGGAATTTTTTCTAGGAAAGAATTCCAACACAATAACCATTGAAAATGACCCGGTCTCTTCTGGTAAACTGCTTTTGCTTGGTGCATGGGCGAATTTATACAAACCTTATGAAGTATACTATCTCCCAGAAGCTGGTGGTCATAGCATTGC